GTAGCCTGCTACTCCGCGTCGCGCCCGCTACGATGCTACTTCTTGTTGCCGTCGATCGCCAAGCTGCATGAAGCATGAAGCGTTCTGGTATGACGCTTTTACACTTTTTTCGGACCCCGAAAACAGACATTTGGAGCTTTCAAGGTGGCATTTTCACGCGACCACTGGACAAAATAGGCTCCTGGCTAGATAAAGTCGCTGCTTCTTGGCCGATTCGAGCTGCTGCTCCAACGACTATGTATGTAGAAACCCACGTCCTTCTCCCACTACTTTAGGGCCGTACTTATCGATCTTGTTGGCCCATTCGGTCCCATTCCGGCGTTGGTGGTAGCCTGCTACTCCGCGTCGCGCCCGCTACGATTGCAGTCGTCGTTGACGACTGCAATCATGTCGGCGTTGCAGATCGTCGACAAGCGGTGGGCGACGATCACGGTCGTGCGCTGCCTCTGCTTGAGGAGACGATCGAGCGACTCTTGCACGATGCGCTCGCTCTCCTGGACGAGGCGACGTCCAGCAAGAGCACGGCTGGGTGCCGGATGATGGCGCAAAGCGCTGCTTCTGGCCGCCCGACGCTTGCACACCGCGGTCGTCTCGTAGTCGTTGAAAAACGCATGATAACGTCGTGCGCGTTGGCCTTCTTGGCGGCGTCCTCAATCTCGGCCATGGTCGCACCCGGCTTGCCTGTCGCAATGTTCTCCGCGATCGTGCCCGCACACAGCAAGGGCTCCTGCGACACGATCGAGAAGTGGCTGCGCAGCGACTGCACGTTGAGCGACCGGAGGTCGTGGCCGTCCAAGAAACCCGCGCCGGACGCCGGGTCGTAAAAGTGTTCGAGCAAACCGATCACCGTACTCTTGCCCGAGCAGCCGACGAGCGCGAGCGTCTGGCCAGCGTGTATCGTCAAGCTGTAGTCCTTGTAGATCTACGAGTCGGGGCGTGAGGGATAATGCCAAGGCAGCGTGGCGCAATTCGAGCTCGCCCTTGACCTCGTCATGCACATTCGAAGCCGAGCAGTCGATGGACGGGACGCGGTCGATGATGCCATAGATGCTGCCGATCGCCTTCTTGGCCTTGGCCATGTCGCCAAAGCCCTGGGCCGCCATGCCGACACCAAACGACAGGAGCAAAATCGGGTTGAGCACGAGGAACATGCGCTCGAAGTCAACGTCACCACAGATGATGAGCCAGCCGCCAAACCAGAAGGGGAATGCCATCGCAATGACCATGCAGCTCTGCGAGACGCCAAAGCCGACACCCGCCAAGATGCCCACCTTGTGGTCCGTGGTCGGCGAGAGCTGCAGAAAGGTCAGGTACGCTTCGTTGGTCGTCTTCTCGAGGCAGAAGGACGCGACCGTTTGGATCGAGTTGATGGGGTTCCGAGAGGAGCGCGCCGGCGCGGATGTCGCCGTCGTTGACGTTCTTGACCGTGTTGCCGCCCATCGACTGCATCTGGATGAATGCGCCAAAGCCAATGATGGGAAACACGCCGAGGAGCGCGAGCGTCATTTGCCAGCTCTGCGAGAATGCAATGCCAAAGGCAACAGCCAAGATCGAGACGTTGATGAGGACGACGTTGACCGTCTCGGCCGTCATAATGCGGATGGCAGCCGAGTCGGTCACGAGGCGCGTCGTGAGCGAGCCCGACGAGTGCTTCTCATCGTCAAACCAGCCAATGTCCTGGCGCAGCATTGCTTGGAAGCACAAGCCACGAATGCGCGACGTGAGGCGCTCGCAAGCAATGGAAAACTGGTGGTTTTGAAGCGTCAGCTCCGCGCAATAGACTACACCGAGACCCCCAAACCCCGCAGCCCAGAGCGACGATCGCGTCGTCGGGCTGTCGAGCTTGAAGGAGGGCCGTGCACTTGGTCAAGAGCAAGCTCCAGACGGGAAGACGGCGCCGTTGAGGACCGCACCGATGCCACCAAAGATGAAGTTGAGCATCTCTGGCTTGCTCAAGCTCCAGACGCGCAAAACAGGCACGTCCTTGGCGGCCTCAATGTCCGTCTCGGCGTCGCTCTTCGCGTCGACTCTTGGTGGCTCACGCGCGAGTGGAAGCGGTTGCAGCCGGCCGTGATCGGCGCCGGCGAGAGCTCGTCGTCAAGGTCTTCATCTATGCCGACCTTCTTCATCTGCGCCTCGACAAGCGTCTTGTAGAGACCGTGTGGCGGTTGCAGAAGCGCATCATGCGTGCCTTCTTCGACAGCATTGCCAGATTCAAGCACCGCGATCGGCGTTGCGGGTCGTCGTTCGGTCGTCCGACGCCACAAGATGATCGAGCGACGCCTGCACAATGTGCTCGCTCTCCGTGTCGAGCGCCGATGTTGCTTCGTCCAGAATCAGAATACAATGCGTTGTTTCTACGTACATCCACGGGTTCAGATCGGATAGAAGAAAGTGCAAAGTGCGAAAGGACGACATACCTGACCCCCCGAGACGCTGCCACTGGCACCGACGAGCGCAATCTTTTGGCCTGCCGGAATGTGCAACGAGTAGCCAGCGCACGCTTGGACGTTGGACCGCGACGGGTACGCAAACGAAATGTTGGAGAGCGTGATCTCGCCTTAGACGGTCGGCAGGATGGCGCCGGCATCGTCCGAGCTGGCGTCGATCGTGAACTCGCGCTCGATGAGCTCAAAGACGTCGTAGGCCTCAGACCGGGCAGAGAACATGGCCTGCGCGCTCGGGCCGGCCTGGCCATGCACCATGGAGCTCGTGACGACGCGGCCACCATCGTAGTAGCCGCTGCCAACACACTTGTCGGTGATCTGGTCGTTCGTGATCTTGACCGCGCCGTAGTACATGCCGACCGCGTACCTGCAGAAGACGACAAACAACATGCCGCCCGTGCCGAGGTCGACCGCAATGCCCTTCTTGACGCCGGCGACGTCGGTCTTGCGCAGGGCGGTATTGTACTTGTCGACCATGCGGCGTTGGACATGTGCACGGTGCGGATGTTGCTGAGCGACACTTCGGCGACACCACCGGCTTCAGCGTACGACTCGATGTCGCCTTGCGTCGGCGACGCGATCGCCTTGATCATGAAGCAGCCGCTCGCAGCGATGAGCGGCGTAAATGCAAAGAAGATAAGCGCGAGCTCCCAGCCGTAGCAGAAGGCAATGATAAAGCCTGAGAGCGCCATGGTCGCAATACCGTTAATCAACGCTTCGCGTTCAATACAAAAGTTCCTACCAGCTCACCCCGGAAGGGACCTGTTGTTGTCAAGAAGATTTTTGTACAGTAGTCAAAGCATAAAAATGCACATGTTCTTGTATGTCGATACTCAAAACAAGAAGAGTCTCGTACAATAGTCGAAGCATGAAAATGCACCTTTTGTGCGTCGATACTCGAAACAAGACGGGCGTGCGCAGGTGCTTACTGACGCTCCTCTATTTTATTGCCTACCACTGAGCATACTAGAAGGTATTGTGAGGTCTGCATGGGCAATCGCATATATACTGTAGCTCGACCGCTGCGCAATCAAATCACCGTCCGCGTTTTACCGTAATCTGACCGTAATTACGAGCTTTATGGGGAAAACCGCTCAAATCATCAGTTCTTGAAGATCCGGGTCGAGGAGAAGGAGCATGGCGGTCAAGGACGACCGCTACCAGCGCGCTCTCGAGCGCATCAAGCCGCGCAGCCCGACGCTCTTGACAGGGGCCTGTCGACTTCCGGCCGTGCATGTCGATGGCCGCCCCGCCTACCTGGCGTCTCCGAGCGCGCAGACGATGGCACCAGGCCGGTACGAAGCCGTCGAGGTCGACCCGGCGTGGCAGGACGATCTCCAGCGCGCTGTCGCGCCGCTCGTAGCTCACGACGACGTTGGATTCCGCATCTCCCTCGGTCATCTCGTCGTCTCCCCAGTCGACGCACCTCTCGACGCGATGAAGCCCGGGAAGCGCAGCAAGCGCTTCGGGACCCTTATCGTCGAGCTTATTGGCCCCGAGAACGAGACGTGGACCGTTCACTCGAGCGGAATCTCGCACGCGTGGGCTGCCGGTCCTTTACGCTGGTATGCCGTCTTTGGCTTCGCGACGCCGTCGGTGCAACACCACGGGTCCCGGACAGGCCGTCGCATCGCGCTCGTGTACAACCTCGTGGCGCAGCGGGACGGACTGCCACCGACGCCCGTCAAGAACACGGACGCCGTTCGCGCGTTCCAGAAGCTGGCTCGCACGCGTCGTGACGAGGACCCGTGCGTCCTGTACGTGCGCCAAGGATCCGGATACAACACGTCGGCCCTCGACGAGGACCTCGTCGACATCATTGCGGGCTCGAAAAAGTACGATATGGTCGAAGCGCAGACGACCGTCGTCAAAGGCAGCCTCATCGTGACGCGGGCGACGAGCTTTCGGCGACACTTGCCGAAACTGCTCCTCAACAGCCTCCAGGGCCGCGTTCTCACTCGCTGGTTTGGCGCCGATCCAGATGACGAAGCACCACTGTACGTCGTTCTGTGGCCGTGCACAGCGCGTTGGCGTCTTCTGAGTATCACGAACGTGCTGCATGCGTTGGCGACGAACCGGGGTCAGCTCCACGGGCTTCTCGAAGGCCCCCGTCGCTCGCCAAAAGACGCACTGCCTCTTCTCGTCAAGGTTCTCGTGGACACGTATGACATCTCCCCGAGCATCCAGGCGCACCTCTGTCGCATTTTGCTTCGCGAGCCCAGCAAGGCAGCGCTGTGCCTTTTTATCCGCAACCAGTTTGTGCCCAACGACGACTCGGGTCGCTTCTTCATGGACGTGCTCGACGTCTGTGGGTGGCTCCCGACCCACGACTCGGTCTCGGTCGCAACTGCCGTCCTCGCGATGCTGCGACGCTGCCACAAGCACCTCGAGCACAGCGTCATGATGCTTGTCGCCCTTACCCAAGTCCCAGTGCACGGTCTCGTAGCTCACGCCGAGTGCATCCAAGCCGCGTACAACACGTGTGTTGACGTTTTGGCGCGACACGTCGAGACGCCACAGCTCAAGGAATCGAGCAAGTTCCTCGCCTCATTCTTGTACCTGGAGCAGTCGGTGCACGCGTCACGATCAGAGACGGAAGACTCGTGGTTCGATCGCGGCTTGCCCCCTGCCGAGCCCACGATCATCGAGTCCTTTGAAGCCCGCCCGGCAGGTCTCGTCGACATCCTCTTGGCCAAGCCGGCGTTGTTCGCAGCGCACGTGCTCGCGCCGGCGCTGGCGATGCTCAATTTTGTGCCGACCAACATAGACCAAGCGGTTCGTATGATGGAACTCGACCTGCATGGGACGCTACGTCACGTGTCGAGCCACACGGCGGCGTCCTTTCTGCGTGCGCTGGACATCGCTGGACGTCTCGATACAACCGCGTCCTATCTCTGGGCCGATCTCGGTGTTGTCGCCATCCCGGTCTTTGCGATACTTCTTGCTCAAGGAGGTCCCATCAAGAACGCGGACGCAATGGCTGCCATGCTGCGCACCACTGCCGGGTGTTGCATCGTCCAGATCCCGCACCTCGACCAAGTGCTCGGCGAGATGGCAGCCATGTGGCCTAACGTCCACGACCTATTCCCTCGTTTCGCGCATGCGGCGTACGATGTTGCACTACTGCAGCAGCACCTTCTTGAAGAGGCCACGATAGTTTTTGACTCGAGCGGCGTAGTGGATGGCCACATTTTTGCTAGCTGTGTGCATAGCTTCTTGACGACAAGCCCCGTGGCCTTCCCGCACCTCTCCTGCATCACTCAGCTGGCTCGCGCACTTACCGACCATGGTGTTTTCCATGCGGGCCGTGCGATCGCAGGCGCTGCGCTCACGACGGTCCACGCCGAGATGGCCAACTGGACGTGCTTTCTCGAGTGCTCGTGCGCCCCCTGCACCGGCTTGCGCGTCTTCTTGAACGACGCGCGCGAAGGAGTTTTTGACATTGACGACATGGACGCCCGCCACGTCCGCACGTCTCTCACGCTTTTGTCGAGCATTCACATTGTGCCACACCACGTGCTTCGCGTCCACAAGCTCGTTTTTTTTCCCTACACTGACCTGGCCATCGCGACGCTCCGTCAACTCCGTGCAAGCGCCTCGGACTTGAAGGACATGGTCGTCGGAGGCCATTTTGCGCAAGCGGATTTTTAGTCTTTGGAGCCGCAGATAATGCAAGTTGTGTTGCATGATACCTGCCACTGGCATGCGAATTGAGCTGCGTACAAAGGTGCACGTGGTGGCACAGCTTCATTTGTACATGGATGCACCGATACCAGCACGTGCAAGACTGAGCAAGTGAATGCGACGTGAGATGCGATTCACCGTATCTGTGTTCTTTTGACCGGCTGTGTTTCTGGGCGTCAAGCATACTAGTATAGCATAAGCTTGCAGTTTAGGCCAGAGATGGGCTGGCAGTACTATATCCCAGCAAAAGACAGCTTCGGGCGATGCATCCGAGCCAGTGCGATGGAGAAACATCAACAATGTTTTTACCAATTCCAAGTCATTTCCCAAGTAATGCCATTTCAGCAAATTGCTCATTTACGAGATCGCCGCAGTCCGAGTCCTAGGGCAACTGTAGACCTTGGACCAGGTCACAGGGCGATGCTGTAAGGTTACTGCGGCCGAGCTGCTCCACTTGAGACCGCCAGCATGAAACCTTTACAACCGACAGCCCCGCTCGCTTGCAGGCCTCTTGCAGCCGCTGGCGTGCATCGGTCGCGTGGAAGTGGCCTGCGGCGAGCTAGTGACCACTGCAATAGGGGTACTGCGTCTTCTTAACAGTCGCAGCTTGACTGTGCCAGTCGTCGATTCCATACGGATCTATCCCGGGGCTGCACGGTTCGACGTCGTGTACCAGGCGGCGATCGACCACGTGACGCCGACAGAGCTCAAGGGCCAAAGCAAGCAACCCAGTGTGACCATCGACGGTGCCGAGGTTGCGTGGCCAATGGCGCCGGACGTCGTAAAGCCGCTCGTTCAGAGGCATCAGACGCGACGCCGGCGGCACATCAACATCGAGCCGATCAAGATGCGCGTCGGCGCATGTGGCATTACCGTGATCACGCTCCCGATCGCCTTGGCGCCAAAGGATGCGCGGACGCTGCACCTTCTTGACAAGCAGACCGAGACATGCCTTGCGCCTCCGTATGCGACCATGCAGCCCGCGATCGTGTCGGCGTCAACGTCCCTCCACACCGCGCTTCGATGGATGCCGCCTGGGAGGCGACTGTAGCACGTCAGCTGCGACCGCTCGTTGCTCACTTGTCTGCCGACGTGACGATCGCTTTGGCGCATCTCAGCCTTGCGACTGCGC